ATTACTAGTATTTGAGTAATAACTGTAGATCCTTGTTTTAGTTCCCCTTACGTGCTAAATACTCGTTAAACCAGCATCAACCCTGCGAAGGAGGATTATCTCTGTTTGACAGATGAAGAAACTGAGGCTGAGACAGGTGAAGTGACTGACTTAGGGTCTCACAAAACAAAGCAAAGACTTGAACTCAGCCTTGTCTGTTCTAAAGCTCTCATATGCTGGCCCCCATGCCATACTCCGTTTTGTAGTTATTCCTAAAAAAAGAAAAAGAAAAAAAGAATCCGCTTTCCCACTACTGCTCTCTGCCCCAAATGTGGGATACAGAACTTCAGCCTTCAGGATAGTCCAGATACATAGTGGGAAAATTATTTCTAGTGTAAATTCTCTGTGGAGTCACTCTTTATAAAATCTCCAAGCCCAAAAGCCTGGGTAACGAATAAGCATGTCATTCTCTGCAGCCCGGCCTCTGGGCCATGTTTATTAACTTCACTTACATAAGAAGAGTCCACTTCAGAGAAGGCAGCATTATTACTACAACACCGTGCCACTTCTCCTTTGTGGAGCTGCTTCTGTCTCAGGTGCAGTCTTGCAATTCAACAACCTTTTCTCTTGGATCCAGCCGTCATCACTGAGAACCTGCCGTGTACTTTCATGAATTATCCCAGTTGTTACACACCCTCCCCTCTCCCTATGTGATGGGGTAGTTTAGCTTTGTGGGTAAGAGGCGGGTCATCTGAATCTGACTTCTCTGGTCCTTACTAATTCAGTATCTATTGTCTAGTAACTTAATGCCCCTAAACACCAGTGTCCACATCTCCAAGATGGCAATATGTTACCTCCTTCACAAGGACTGTGAAGATGTAATGGAGTAGTGGAGGTGATCAGTAAACGTTAAGTAGTATTATGCCTGTCTTCCTAACAAGAAAAAACTTTGAGGTGTTAAATAATTTGGTCAAAGGTACACAGGTAACTGGTGGTGGCAAAAAATTCACATGCCCATCTTCAAGCTTCCGAGTTCCATGTTCACTTCCACCCTCCTTTGGGTCCCTACCTGTCCCTTGAGAAGCTGGCATGGAAGAAAAGGAGGCTGAAAAAGGTTACGACAGAGCCAGCATTCAAAGCCTAGTCTCGTAAAACTAGCACTTGCTTATTAAAGACAGTTTGGGAAAAAATGGAAAAAAAGGAAAAGATACCACCTATAATCTCACCCCCAACCCCATTATGGTGTTTTTTTGTTTTCATCTCTTCTCTTTTTAGTAGAGAGTGGTGCTTGTTTCTCATAGTTTGCAATCACACTGCAGTTGCAGTACTATATTCTTTGTTTTTCACTTTATGTACATGTTTATACATAATTTCATACTTTTTATGAACATAATTTCTAATGGCTGAAGAGGACGGATCTCAGTCTAATTAACTGTTCCCGAATAGTAGGGTGTTCACATCTTTCCTATTCTGTCACTAATAGTAAAAATGCTGCTGTATGTACTTCAGAAAGGTTCTTGCAGATGGAGACTCCTGAAGTACAATCATTGAGTCAAAAGACACATACTTCTTTAGGGGTTTTTTTAAAGTCAAGGTTATTCAGTGGTAATTGATGCAGAGTAAAATTCACTCTTTTTAGCCATAATGTCTTGTAACTACCCCCACAATTAAGATATAGATGATTTCTGTCACCCCAGGAAGTTTCCTAGTGCCCATCTCTTGTTGACTCGTCCCTTTGCTCTCAGCCACCCTTTGCTCTCAGTCTGTTTTCTGTTCCTGTATTTTTGTCTTTCCCTGAATATCTTATGGAGTTACACAGTAAATCGCCTTTTGAGTCAGGCTGTTTTCACTGAACATAATGCTTTGGAGACTCATCCAAGTTGTATGTACCAGTAGTTTGTTCCCTTTTTTGCTGACTACTGTTCCATTGTAGAGATGTACTACAGTGTCTGTGTATTCACCACTTGATGGCATTTGGGTTGTTTCTAGATTTGGTGGTTATGAGTAGCTGCTATAAAGAAGTTTTTATGTGAGCGTAAGTTTTCATTTCTCCTGGGTAAATACCAGAGAGTAAGATTGCTGAATTGAAGGTCAGTGTATATTTAACTTCCTAAGAATATGCCAAACTGTTTTCCAGAGTTGCTGAAACAATTTGTATTCTCATTAGCAATTTATGAGCTTTCTAATTATTCTACGCCCTTCCCCACGCTTGGTATTCTCAGGGCTGGTTTTGTCTGCCGTTGGAGTAGCCATCTAACGGCAACCTCGTGGTGAGTGTAATGTGCACTTCCGTAATGACTAATGAGGTTGACGATCCTTTCATGGGCTTAACATCCACATCTCTTGGTGAAATGTCTGCTCAAGGCTCCGTCTTCTCCATCTTTTAAAATTCAGATATTTGTGTTGTTACTGATGTATGAGAGTTCTTTATATATTATGGACACAAGTCCTTTATCAGATTTTTATTTTTTGCAAATGTTTTCTCCCAGTCTGTGTCTTGTCATTTTCTTGGTGGTATCTTTCAAAGAGCAGATGTTTTTAATTTTGACAAAGTCCAATTCAGCAAATTTTTATCCCTTGAATCATGTAAGAAGTCTTTGCCTATACCAAGGTCACAAGGCTTTTCTCCTTTGTTTCCTTCAGACTTTTTATAGTTTTAGGTCTGTGATCACTTTCAGTTAATTTCTGTACATAGTGAGAGGTATCGGTTGAGCTTCATTTTTTTTTCCCATATGGATGTCTAATTATTCCATTACCTTAAAATTGACCCTATATGTGTGGATCTGTTTCTAGTCTCTGTCCTGTTCCACTGGTTTATACATCCATCCTTTTTTCAGTATCACACTGTCTCAATTACTGTAGCTTTACAGTAAGTCCTGACCTTAGATAATGAATCCCCCAACTTTGTTGCTCTTTTTCAGAATTCGTTGTCTAGTTTTCATTATTTGCCTTTCCATATACATTTTAGAATCAGCTTGTCACTTTCTCAAAAAGGCCTTCTGGTCTTCTGATTGCGATTGTGTCAAATCTGTAGATCAATTTGGGGAAAAATAGACTCTTCCAGTCCATGAAAATGATCTTTGTTTTTCTTTAATGGTTTCATTTTCTTTAAGGTTCTTGATACACGTTATTAAAATAAAGATTGGTCCTCTGCTTTCCTGTTAGGGTGTTTAGCACATTGCTCTGCCCTTCTGGATAACAGATCCACGTTTCTCCTGCCCTCCCCCACCACGCCAGAAAAAATCCTGTCTTGATTATGCTCTAACTTCTAAGGATCCCACTCCCCTCCCTTCCACACTCCATGGCTTATAATGATTGCTTTATTTATTTAAAAGTTTTAAGCTCTTTCTCAAAGTATAATATACATATGGAGAAGTGTAAGAATGCATTTTGGTAAATTTTCTCAAAGTGAAACTACCAGGTAAAGAAACAGAACATTACCAGCCACTCTTGTGACCTCTTCCAGTTATTAGCCCCCGACTCCACCCCCACCTCCTCACCGTGCCTTTACTAGCTCCTAGAACCCCCCCGCCCCCTCCTTCCTTCCCCCTCATTTCTTCTTCCAGCTTCCTTGAAGGATCCTCCTCACTTTCAGCTCAGCTTGTTTCCTCTACCGTAGGAAGCTCCCCCCTCCTCCTCCCCGGGCTCCGCTGGCAGTCTGTTTACCTTCATTGGCATGCTTACCGTGATGTGTTGAAGTTGTGTTTCCATTTGACTGCGAGCTTTCTGAGATCTGGAACAAGCTGTCTCGTAGACCCAGGGCCTTCTGTGGTGCCTGCACACAGTAGGCGGTCAGTAATTGTCTGTAGGATGACTGTTGAGAGTCTGGGAAACTGATTCCCCAAAAGTGAATTCCTTGCTCACAGCTGGCCTCCTGGCTTTCAGTTTCACTGGCTTCTTTTCAAACCCCCTTTTCTTCCTCGTGTTACTCTGACTTCTTGTGACTTAATTATTTCCATGCCACTCTTGGAGCAAGTGAGGAAACGTCATAGCTCTTGAAGGCTGCTTTATCCATCATTGTGGTGATAAGAAAGAGGATGATACCCTCAACCCCTCATCTGCCATTAGGTGATAGCTTTTAACTTTTAAAGTCTGTGAATCCAGTCTCCTATTCCAGGGTCAAGTGTGCATGTGTAGATAACTCAGCAATGTGTAAACCCTTCCTATATTCACCCTGCTACCCACATATTTTGGGATGCTCTTTCACTACTGGTAGGGAGGCGACCCTATCCCAGTTTTTGTTGGCCTGTATCAGGATCTGGCTGCTCCTAATAATAGTGACTGGGAGTGTTTTTGTGCAGTGTTGGGGCCACAGTGACTAAATATGAAAGATAGAGACCTTTCTTCACAGTACAGCCTGTATTCAGCTGTGCCTCCATCTGAAGGGTGGCTACGTCCCACACGTGAAGCAGTGAAGGGAGAAGAGAGCTGACCTGATTGGCCTTAAGCACCAGGGTAGTTCAAGGAATGACTGGAGTGGTCTGCATCTATAGGAAGGATGGCAGGTTTTACCGGATCCTCCAAAGACAGATCCGTCTGTTGGTCATTGGCGCACTCTGTTCTGAGTGAGTTGTGCCTACCTGGGGGGACTGAACTGGTCACTTACTGGTCATCTTTGACAAGGGCAGCCAGCCGAGCATGTTGTAGGGAGGCTGGAGTGGGCTCAAGGCTGTTCTGGGGAAGGAATAGCAGGCATCCTGGAGGAGTAGCCATCAGGTGAAGAGCAGTAGGAGTGGGGAAGAGTGGGACGGTCTGGAGGGAGGGGTCCAGGCTCGCAGCCTGTGTGGGCCACACTGTGGAGACTGGTCTCCGCAGCTGGGCTTCCGCAGCCGGTCAAGCTGGGTCTCTTCTGAGCTCTGTGGGATCCCCTCTCCCAGTGGTTGTATGAGGCTCCCCTGCCATGTGCACAGAGGAATGCCTCTGATTCAGTCCGTGACCCCTGGAGATGGACCAGCTCCCCGCCCACAGGCTTGGGCAGCAGCAGCCAGAAAGGCTTTTCACTATCACACTCTGTCCCCCAGGAGAAGATCGGCTGGCGAAAGGATGCGCTGCACTTGCTGGTGTTCACAACGGATGATGTGCCCCACATTGCGCTGGATGGAAAACTGGGGGGCCTGGTGCAGCCGCACGATGGCCAGTGCCACCTGAATGAGGCCAACGAGTACTCTGCGTCCAACCAGATGGTGAGGGCCTGGGACCCCGGCACTGCTCCCACCGCCTCCTTGTGGTCTGAGGCCTCACCTGGCCTTTGCCACCTTCCTTTGGACCACTGCTCACTGACCTTCCCATCCACCCTGGGACTGGGTTTCTATTCCATCTTCTCCACCTGGGCTTCCAGAATTTCTCCTCCTCATTTACTTAGAACATTTCCCAGGGGTCTCTGTAGCTGGTTCATCTTTCCAACCTGGGGACTGCTGAGTCAGGGAAGAGGTGACCCGGGGAGGCAGGAAGAGAGGGAGAGGTGATGGTACAGGAGGGAGAGGACTGTGTTCAACAGAGACCAAACTGGGATAGATGTTCTAGGGCAAGGGCAGTGAAGACAAAACTGTCTGACTTCTAGAAATGGGTTCCCCGAGGCCCTAAGTTCCGTCAGTGTTGGGGGTAGGGTGGCAGGTGACCCACATGGGGAAGCCCCGGGGACCTTCCACTCCCACTACTGTCACTATGACCATGCAGTGAAACAGAACTTGTGCAAAATTTCAAACATATAACAGACCAGTGAAATGAACTTCTACCTACCTGTCCCCAGAACCAACAATTAAGATTTTTACACATTTGCTGTACAATTTTTTCCCCCAAATCTACACCCTCTTCCTTCCCAAATCCATTCTAGTGTCTGGCTAGAGAGAAATTCTAATTCTTGCTGGATTAGCCCATTTTCTCTAGTTTCAAAAGGTGGTCAGTGCCCAAGACTTCCATATTACCCAAGAGTAACAGAGTCTGGAAAAAGGACCTGGTAACTATAGAACCTCCCCGATGAGGATCCTGGACCCGTGATCAGCCCTTGAAATCCTTCAGGACATTGTTGAGCTGCTTGTAGCATCCGCCCCCACTTCCTCACTCCCCTACAAACTCCTTTCCTCCCTCTCTGCTCTGCATCAGCCCGGCTTTTAGTATAATGTCAGCAGCGTCTTCTGCCCATTCTGAGCCATGAGCAGGACTGAGCAGAACCTGTGGGGGACATTGGCAGGCCCAACACTGGGCATAGGAAAAGGAAAACTGAGCAAGGAGATGGGTCTTAGGGAAGAGAGGAAGGGAGCTGCTGGTAGATGGTAGGATGTGGTGGCTGTTCTTTTGGTGGCCTCCCCACTCTGCCCCATCTCTGCTGAAGGGATGGAGACATGGGCCAGGTGTGGGAAACCTCCATCATCACTTCTCCATTCTGGGGTGGGAGGGGTGGGAGGAGTGAGTCTAGTCTGGTAGGTGCCAGAGGGTCCTATCCTGGAGGGTCTCCCCCACATAGTTCCTCAGTTAGGAGCTGCCAGGGCTTGGTTATTAAGGGGCTGCCAGGGAAAGACGCTTATCATGGCAAGATGAGCTACTGAGTGCATGCTAGAGCCAGGTGCTAGTGTCTCAGCCTGCTAGAAATGTTACAGCCTGGATTTTTGCCTTGGCCCTAGGACTATCCATCGCTTGCCTTGCTTGGAGAGAAATTGGCAGAGAACAACATCAACCTCATCTTTGCAGTGACAAAAAACCATTATATGCTCTACAAGGTATATATACCTGGAGGGAGTGGGAGCCTGGTGGCCTGAACCTGGGGGCCATGCTGACCCTAAGATGAGTGGGAGACAGGAATGTGGGCTCAGGTGAACTGTAGGGAGGCGGAGTGAGATCCAGAGGAGAGTGGAATATAGCCCTGTCTTCATCCAGGGGGAAGTAGTAGTTTTAAGGAACAGTGCATACCAAGGACGTTAAACACTTGGTTTCTAATTTGATAATGAGAAAAACTTTGGGAATAGTACCAGTTCCTGTCTTCCAGATGATGAAATGGAAACATCAGGGAGTAGGGAAGGACGATATGAAGTGAAAGTGTACAGAGAAAGAACTAGGCATCTCAGCAGGCTCCATCACTGATTGCATAGTCCTGAGTTCTGTGCCTTCCCACAGAGGACGGGAGACCAGTGGGTTAACCTGGGACAGGAATTCCTGAAGCAAAGAGTAAATGTCTTGAGTGAACAGAGCAGTCTGTGTATGAGGCTATTCTGTCTAAAAGAGAATCTTTCTGGGTCATCCCAAGGACCACGGAGTCATAGGCAAGACACCTTTTACTAGGACTCTCCACCTAACTACCCGAGGAGGCTCGTGGAGGTGCGAGGCTCAGCTCAGCTCTGACACCCTTCGCGCTGAGAGGCTGTGAAAACTGAACCTGCACCTCTGGGACTGCCAGCCCTGGTCCCCTCTCCTTACTGCTCTTCAGTGTCCACAAAACAACCTTTGCTGATATGTGTTTCTACTGCTCCTTCTCAAGATTATCACTGATAAAATGCCACTTAAATCTTCTTGAGCTCTTCATCTTGTTTTTAGTCTGAATCAACTTTAGAATATGAAAGCAAGGAAACAGGATTGTTTGTCTTTTGTTTGTTTAGTGGAAGACAGCAGGATAGAACATATCCATTTACAAGGACCATTTTTAGGGGGATCAGTTGCACAGACTGTACTGAAAATGCCTCCAGATGCTTCAAGGGGGAAGAGACAGCCCCACTTTGGCTAAGCTATCCTTGCTTAGAAGCAAGAACATCTTGCTCAGGAAGGAGGCTCATCCAGTCCAAGGTAGGCTGAGGGCTGTGGGTGTTTCTGGACATTTTTGTCACTGTAGTGAGTGACATACTTAGGCATTAGTACAAGTGAAAGAGGAAAGGCAACCACTTCAGGGCCGCCTGCTTAGCCACAGGACGTCACCCAGTGATTCCAGACCTCCTTGGAAGGCACCATTCACATCTCAGTCCCCTTTTGAGAAAAGACACTGTATTTGAGACCCTTGGAAAAGTCTCCCCTTCACTCCGGGGCCCTGACTGTTCTAGCTCAGTAGGCCAGTGTTCACTCTGACAGTGTGGGAAGGCAAAATGGGCTTATTTGTTTTCTTTCTCTTTTTTCCCCAAGAATTTTACAGCCCTGATACCTGGAACAACAGTGGAGATTTTACATGGAGACTCCAAAAATATTATTCAACTGATCATCAATGCATACAATGTAAGTCACCGGTTTCTTCCCTGCAACACCCCCCACCCTGCCTCCCACTGAGGCTCCTGGAGCTGGTGTGGACCATCGTGCACCACCGTGCTGGTGTACTTGGTTCTGTTTCTCGCCTTCTGCCTCTTGAGTTTGGCGCCTTCCTCCTTCACTCAGGTTCAGGGTGGAGAGGGCATCCTGCTTGGTGCATCCCTCTTCCCTCATCTCCGCCACCTTGACTCTCATCATAAGCTTATCCCAGTGAAGCAGCGAGTGGCTCAGTCAGGCTCAGGCTGGCGGCCCTGGAAGTGCTTGGGTTCTGACCCGATGATAACCCCAGGCCCCGTCGGAGCTCTAGGCTCGGGTGGGTACAGATGCTCTTCACCTATCCAGTTGCTGGGACGATGCTGCCACTGTGCTTGCTATGTTGAGAAGGGAGAAGCATGCACGCTGACCTCGCCTCCCAGTGGGCAGGGCTGAAATTCCCCGGGCTCGTGGAGCTCCACACAGAGCTGCAGACTAAAACAGAACAGAAGAACCTGAGAAGAATCAACACCAGGTCTTCTGCCTGCACTCTTAGGATCTGACTGTAATCAGGTCCTTTCAGAGGGAGGCTGAGCGGAGCTGTTAAATTCTGTGCTGTTGTAACGCATCACGTTAACTTGGCTCTGCTCTAGGAAGTACAGCACTTAAGTGGTCAGGTGTCACTGTCACTTCCCAAGCCAGTTTTCCCTGATTGCCAAATGTGTCTCCTTCCTACCCTCCTTTCCCTCAATCCTGATACCCAAGAAGTACTCAACTCAGACCTACTTTTTCTCCAGACGATGGCAAGCAGTTTCTTGTGCTAGCAAGTATGTACCCTCAGCTGTCCCCTCCCTGTGACGTCCCAGTGTGGCCGTAGCCTCCAGTCCCCACATAGCCCTTCACAGGGCCAGGCAGTTCCCAAATTGGAATTCAGTGTGCATCTTCCTGTTAAAACAAAGTTCTACATAGAGTATATATAGTTTGAGTAACACTAGTGGTCGTAAACTTATGTAGAATAGACTTGTGGGCTAACCTGGGGACCTCATTAACCACTATGGCATCCCCTGGGTGTTAGAAAAACCATGTGCTTTCCAGTGACTGATGTACACATGTGTATTTGGAACTCTGCCTTTCTAGTTGACTTTGTCACCCTACTGGTGCAGCCTTGTTCTGAGCTGCAAAATACTGCTCAGCTAGACCACGGGGGACCTGGAGATTGGGACGTGGTCAGCCCTCACCTGGTCTCCTGGAGCCTCAGTGTCTAAAGGCGGTGAGGGGGCAACAGTGAGAATTTCTGGCTCATTTTGCGTCCTTCTCCCCACCCCCACTTTCTGCTGCAGCTCAGGGCCCTCTTCTTCTCACAAGTGCTCCAATTCCTCCTCACTCCTGGAACTTCCTATTGAGAGAAGCTCAAGACTTCCTTCTCCTTTTCTACTTAATTCCCCACATACTAACATCCTCTTTTCTGATCTCTGACCTTGTAATCTTCACCAGATCCAGGGGCCACCTCTGAACCTGGTGAGACTAGGTTTCCAGGTTAGCTACACTTTGTGGCTTTCAGATTTCTACAGCGGGTGGAAGTGTGACATACTGAAAGTCTGAGAAGAGAGTGTGTGTGAGGGAGGGGCTGGGCCTGCCGAATGTGGCCCCCGTCCCGAGGGTCACTCCTCACTGTGCTGCCTTGGGCCTCAAGCTGGGTGGCTGGCTGGCAGACCTCTGGGGCTCCCCCAGTAGTGCTTTCTGCCAAAGGCCCAGGTCCCCGATCCTTGTGGCTTTGATAAAAGAGGCATCGTGATACTCAGTTCTAAAGGACTGGCAGGGTGGTGTTCTCCAAAAACGGGGAAGGCACTCGCTTAGTCAGCGTTGCATGTGGCCAAGTGGTCTGCACGTCCATACTTGTGTGCGGGTCCACTGAAAACCAGGATGCATGAGACGGTTGTGGTTCCCTGGGCAGGGTCTCAGGTGCTCAGTGCTGCTCTCACTCTGTTGCCTTGGCCCTGCGCAGGACCCATGCAAGGTAAATTCATTTTCTTAATGGAAATCCAGGGGCCTGGGGTGGGCAGAGGTCAGGAGAGGAGCAGGGAACCCCACTCTGGAACTGAAGCGGTGGGACCCAGATGAGTAGAGGAAGTAGAGGAAGTCAGGAGCTACATTTGGAACCCGGGTTGAGCCCCCCAGGAGCTCTGGGAATCTAGCACCGCAGCTTGACTCTGAGTTAAACTGTAAGAGAGCATATTAGGAAACCAGACATATGACTTAGGAGTGAACGCTTGAAACTCAGTTCTTAAAATGGGCGTGTCTGGATACTGTGCACAATGACTATTAAAAATCAGTGGAAAACTGAAACAGCTTTATTTAGAGGTAATTAACATACAATTCACTGTACAGATTTAAAGTGTATAGTTTGATAAGTTTTTATACTTCTACACACTTGTGAAACCATTACCACCACCAAGACCTTGAATGTGTCCTTTGCTCTAAAACGCTGGGACCCTTGGTAATTCCCTACTTCCGCCCTTCCCTTCAGCGGATATTTTAAAGACAGGTATTACATACAGAAATGTGAAAAGGCAAGGTATTCGGAGCAGAGCCTAGCTGGTGGCAGCCGTGCTGGGGATACGCTGGTGCTCGACATTGGTTAGTACGCGAGTCACTGGCTGCCGTCCTTTCTGGCAAATGGGAAGGCCCGGCCTGGGCCTTGGGCCCCTCGCGTCGCCTGCATCGGGGCCCGCCGGCGCCTGGGGTGCGGCGTGGACGTGCGTGCGCGCTTTGGCCGGCAGGGGGCCCTGCTCTTCCCCCAGCCGGGTCGGAGCACGGACCGGACTGTTGCGTTTCCCCGCCTCACCTCGCCGCCTCCGCAGTTTGCGGTGGATTTCACATGAGTCATGCAACGCGTGACTAAGTGTGGCGCTGACTTCGGCCTCCCCTGGAGCTGGCAGGCCGACTGGGGACATCCTGAAAGGATCGCAGTGGAGCCACGGAACAGAGGAAATGGCCGTGGCGTGGCTGTCGGCTGGGGAGGGAGCAAGACGGAAAGGGCACGGTTAATGGAACGCCTGGCAGAATCGAGTCTGTCGTACTCGACTTTCACGGGGTAAAATCTTGACTTCTACTGTTTTTCCTGCTGCGCCGAATTCTTCACTGTGGGAACTCAGCGGTGCGGAGCTTCGCCGCGCCGAGGGTGCCGGGGAGCACAGAGGTGGGGCGCTGGGTGCACACACACGACACCGGCCTTGTGTCACATTGAGAAAAAGGGGGCAGGACTCGGAGAGGAATCACGAGGGTCCCTTTTCAAAGGGAGAAAGAGCAGAATGAGCTGGAAACCATAGAGCTGCATGTAGAGGGTGACGTCAGAGGCCGTGGTGTGTGCCGCTTCTAGCCGAGCACATGTTTCTCTTTTTGTTGTTGCCATAAAGTCTGCTCCCACCCGCTCCACAGCTGGCCTGGCTTAAAGCGATTGCAGATGTGACCCAGCCTGACTGAGTATTCAGTAGTCTTCATAAACTAATGACATTTTTGACATTATCTCCTTGTCCTAGGATGAGAAGGAGTCATCTTCAGGGGCCGGTCTGATAGGAGTTCACTGAATTTCAGGAGTCACACATAAGTCTTCGTGCATCAGAATTGCGTTGGCTGTGGCTTTGATCCTCTACTGTATCTTGTACTTTATCCATTTATTCATTCATTTATTTGTCCAACAAATATACACTCCTGGTGTGGCAGGCACCATGCTACAAAAAATAATAAAGCAGTGAACAGAACACAGTTCTGCCCTCCAGGAAGGAGCTCACGATCTTTGAGGGGAGTCTGAGTCTCAACTGGGATATGACCTGACCACACTTTCTAAGGTCAGAGCCAGTTTCCGAATAAAGTGTCAAATCTGGTGATGACAGAGCGTCCTGCAAGGGGACCCAGAAGGCCTGATTCTGGTCCTGCCTGCCCCTGAGTAGCCCCAGATGTGGCCTTTTCTTTGGCCTCAGTTCCCGCTTCCGTAAGATGAGAAATTTGAACTGAGTCTCCACAGTTCCTACCACTGCTAACATCTTAAGAGTTTCTGATTCTAGAGACTATGTGGAGATCAGAAATAATACAGATATCAGATCGGAACACAAAACTTTAGGGTCCTATGACCAGAATAGAACATCAGATTCAGTTTCCATCTGTTACAGTCACCGGTTCGTTCAATCGGAGTCCCAGTCCCCAGTGCTCTTTCTCCCATGACGGGTTCCCCATTAACGCTTCCAGGAGGTGGCCTCAGCAGATCTTGATGGGAAGTGCTGATGCTTCCTCCCAAAGCCTTGTCTGGGAGCCACGTGGCCCTCATATTTCAGGAGACTGGTCCCCAGTAATTTTTAAATAGCTCCAGTCTACCTAACCCTTTTATGATACACTGTTTTGCCTCATCCTCATATACTTATTCACAATTAAACTATATAATTTCTAATTTATTTTGTCTTTCAAAAATAATTTAAGTTTCTTCCACTAGATCTGAGCCGCTGTGAAAACATCCACTCTTCCATCCCTCCATCCATCTATTCAACAAAAGCTTATGTTCAGTCCTGGAGAGAAATGTGATAGGGTCCTCAGAACTCACAGCTCAGTGGGGAAAACAGATCTGTAAATAACTAATCACATCCTGTAGGAGAGCTGTGTGTGTGGAGTCGTGCTGGCAGCCGGCTGCCAGTGGAGGCTGGCACTAACAAGAGGAAGTGGATTTAAGAGAGAGAGTATTTTTAGAGCTGTAGAAGAGCTTAGACAATTTGTTGCAAAGGGAGAGACTGTTTTTTGCAGAGTGTTTTCAACAGGCTGTTAATGTGTTGGGGAAACTGCATATTTAATTTAAGTTTAACGTGATGTGCTCAGCAAAAAGAAAGAAGAGAAACCCTACAAGAGCAGGAGGCACTTCTACCTGCTGATGTGTCCAATGCCCTGTTCCCTGGAATGCGGCTGAGAGGGGAGATGGGAGTGTGATGGGCCATCCGTTGATCTGGGGGTCTGTGTGTCCGTGTGTCTCTCGGAGTGTGTGCATTCTGCTATACTGAGTGCCTTTGGTGGAAAAAAATTCTTTTTGTAAGATATGTCCTTCATTTGGTCTCAGTCTCCAAAGTACCTCCTTAGAGATTTTCAATGGCAATTTTTTAAACTAACAGGCATACAGAAAATTGTACAGACTTTTCACAACTAAATACACCTAAGTATCGGGCCACCCAGGTCAAAAAACAGAGTATCACTAGCATCCGGAACCCCTATTATGTCCTCTTCTATTACTATCCTCCAAGAGTAACCGTTAGTTTTTTCATGTTTTTGAATTTCATATAAATAGAATCAAACAGTATATATGCCTTTTGCATCTGGTTTCTTTCAGGCCATGTGATAGGAAATTCATCTATGTCATGACATGTAGTCATATTTCATTCATTCTTGTACTGTATGATATTCTATGTGAACACACCATAACTGAAAAAAAAATATGTTGATAGGTGTTGGATAATTCCAGTTTCTAGCTGTTACAGACAGTGTTGCTGTAAACATTCTTATACATGTGTTCTGGTCAGTACACATCTCTGTTGGATATAATTCCAGCATGAATTGCTTGTCTGAGGTTGACCTGAGCATTAGTAGACACTGCCTATTGTTTTCCTCAGGGGTTGTACCAGATCACATTCCCACCTGCATGGAATGAGGGCCCCAGTGGTCCCAGCTCCTTTCCAACACTTGCTATGTTGAAGTCTTTCATTTTTTTCTATTCTGATGGGTAATTGTGGCTTGATTTTTATTTCATCCATCATCTTGAGAACATAATCCACACATAAGGTGGATTTCAGAATGTAGGTCAGAACTTACGAATGTGGACCTCATCTGATGGGGGATAAGTGTGAAGAATGAAAGGGTGGGTTCTTGGAGAAAGTGCCTGCTGAGCTGACGTGGTAGGGTGATAAAGAGCTAGCGGCGGGGGAGAGTCGAGAGAGGAGCAATTGAGCAAAGGAACGTTATCCAAGGCACATGCAAAGCTCCAATGCCTGGAGAGCACATGGCAAGATTTGAGGAGCTGAGGGTGGGGATGAGAGGTGACTGCAGAGACAAGCAGGTATAGAGCATCACCCCTGGAAGCAGAGGAGATTATCGTATGACACATGGACCATTAGAAATTCTCTGAGCTCACGGAGGGAGACCTCAGGCCAGGGCTAGCAAGACGGCATGTGGGTGTGGAGAGGAGGAAAGGGATGAGGGACGGGCAGTGAACCTAGCCCGCTGGCTCCTGCCTTGGCTTGAGTCCTGAGTTAGAGGAAGCCACGTGGGCATTGGAGAACCAGTATGGAGAGCATCTCGCTGCAGCCTTTACTAACTGGTTCTGGCTGCTTCTCTCTGTTCAGAGCATCCGGTCTAAAGTGGAGCTGTCCGTCTGGGATCAGCCTGAGGATCTTAATCTCTTCTTCACTGCTACCTGCCAGGATGGCGTCTCCTACCCTGGTCAGAGGAAGTGTGAAGGCCTAAAGATTGGGGACACGGTAAGTTCTTACCCCCTGTTCACTTATACTTAACATTGGTCATCATTCTTCAGCTTCTGAAAACTTTTGTGACTTATTAGAGTCCTTTGGGGGTTTGAATCTATCTTCCCACTCAGCGTGCCGGGGACTGTCCTAAACCTGCTCTGTGCTGTGTCTTCAGGAGGTAGGTGGACTTGTTAAGAAAGCTCTGGTCAATACACAGCCCTCTGAGTTGCCACGTAAGGCGTCTTCAGGTTGGCCCTGTGCCTTTGTTATTGTCTTTGGCAGGGATGAGATAGGGTAGGAGAGTGTCAGTGGGAATCTGAAAGACTCAACCTTCCTTCCTGGTTTTCTACAGCTTGCTCTGTGCCTTGGATAATCTGACTTTCACCTTTCCCTTCTGTAAAACATGAAGCAAGCTATCCACTTCTTCTGATTTGGAAGGGGTAGCTTTGTAGCAGTGGAAGCCACAGGCCCCTTGTCTGGATTAAGTGGATATAATGAAATGGTAGGGAAGAAACATTGTGTGTAAAGATGTGTACCTGTGTACCAAACCAAGGACTTGTGGGAGGGAGGAGGGTACATGGGTGATGAGAACAAAGATGAAACACCGGCTCAGGGGCAGGCAGAGTGGGGATGGAGAGTCACCTGCACATCTCCTAGAGGTTCCTGCTGCCAGAAGAGACTGTGAGCTCCACTCCTTACTTTGTTGACTCTTCCATTGCTCAGAAAATAGGAAGGCAGTGAGGAAAAGTTCTCTTCTGCAATTAAAACAATCTGGTTGGAACCAAAAGAACCATAAGGACCTTAAAAATACAAGACCTGGACTTCTAAGCTTTCCTAAGCACTAATGAATGCCAAGGTGGCTATAAGCAAACATACCCTGGATTCCCCGGAAACAGCTCAGAAAGCTGTAGGTGTGGCCGCATGACTGCTTACACTGCAGCCTGGTCTTCTGTGATTTCCTCACATTCTGTAATTGATTCTCTCCCTACAACCTCTGCCCAACTACCCTCCGCCCCTTTTACGACCCATAGGCACTCATTCTAAATCTTACAGTAGTGCCTTGTCCAAGCAAAGGGACCACTCAAAATGTGCGGTATCAAGGTTCAGGAAAATGAGGGACTGTAATGACTAGGTAACAAATCTTTTCCTAACACAGATTTTTTTTTTACAAGTTTCTTTTTGCTTAAAAGAAAAAAAAAAGAAAGATGGCCTAATCGAGTTGATAGATGACAGATGATTAAAAATTCAAAATGATTCATTGTTTATGGCTTTTAGCTCAGAAGTCACTCACAGAATAAGATGACAAGGCTATAATGAAACTCCTATTTGCATCTTCCTGTTTATGTGAATAATTTTTGGAGGGTGTGCTTCAATCTATACAAATAAAAAATAGGAATAGAATTGATGCTGATCCCTGTCTTACTTAGCGAAAAGTAAAATTTTCAGTATACACGAACTTTTTGGGTGGGGAAAGCCCCATCTCATTAAAATGCACTTCCAATAAACTTTTCTTTTTAATGCTTGTCAAATTTTGTGACATATTTATGTCGTTTTGATGAATTGCATGATTAATCAATCCAGATGACTTTTTTAAAAAGCATAAACTTGGTTTGAAGAGACAGCTATGAAAAATGGAGGGAGGCAGAAGCAGATTTTGTAGACCTGTGGATGGAATGTTTGGTGCAGTGGGTCAGGAAAGCTAAAGTGATGTGTGAAAAACACCCAAACAAGGAGCCCTTTACTTGGAGAAGTGGGTGCAACGGAAGAGAGGAGGATACGCAGCACGCACACCAGGTGCCTGGGTTTCAGGGAGTCCCTTGACAATTTTAATGACATCCTTATGCGAAGGCAAGTAGTGTGGATTGAGGACAGCACAGCCAGGTAGATGCGTAGCTGAGAAAACTTGCTTTCTAAGAGCGTTGATGACATCAGCTGGGGGAAGAGTTGACTGAGGTTCCAAATGTCTCCTGTTCCTGTTTATTACTCACTTGAGCTGAACTCGCGCGGAAGACCTGCTTGTCAAAGATGGGAAGGTCATAAAGCTGAGGAAAAGAGGTCATCCTGTAAAACAGGAAACCCAAGAGTTAAGAACGTTTTTCAAAGCTGAGCTGAGTTGAAGCAATCAGGATTAGTATCTTGCATTTATAGTCTGGAGGGAACCTGGTTTGATAGTAGCTTTTAGGAAAAAGATCTGGCAGATTCTAATTCTCAAAGGGTCAGTGTGAGTAAGCAATGTTGCTTAAAAAAAATTATGCCAATTGAGGCTGCATTAATGGAAGTATTTTTTAGTATTTTGAAACCCCAGAGATGATGGCTTCACTCTTCTTCATGTGGGTCAGACTGCATCTTCAGTTCTAGGTTCAGTTCTTTTTTTTAAAGGCCAGCCACAAGCAACCATCAGGATGAGTTGTCTAGAAACTAGGAAGATCAAGGGAACTGGTGTTTGTTGATAATAACAGCATAAAGCCAATTCTTTTTGGATGCAGGGAACGGAAACCCATTTATGCTACCTTAAGCAAAAGGAAAATTGGTATAAGAACGTTGGGTCGCTTGTGGACCGAAGAGGGAGATGCACTTAGTCTTGGGAAAACCTGGAAAGTAACTGGACGATGAGTTAGCTCCATGTTCCTCACCTAGTTCTTTGCAAGAAAGATAGTTATGCATGTTGACAGATGAGAAAAACTGAGGCACAAAGAATTTAATTAATTGCCCAAGGTGCCACAGCCAGTAAGTAGCAAAGTGAAAGCTGAAAGTCAGGGCTTTCTGGCTGTGACGCCAGCACCGCATGCCCCCTCTCCCTGGCCTCCTGCTGCCCACGGTTCTGTTCATCATACCTGTTTCAGAGGGCTCACCTCAGAGCAAAGTACAGTAACAGGGAGCAGGCCTCCAGCGGGGAGCACAGAGTATCGGGTGCCGTTGTGCGCCTCCCCACATATGATGCACACCCCTGTGGCTCAGTGCTGCCCAGCATCCTGAGATTTGGGGATGTGCTGACCTGTCTTAAGATCACCCACGGCTGGTGGTGGACTCAACTCAGCCCAAACCGAGTCCTCTCCTTGCCTCCTGACCATGGAGGGAATGACACAGGCCATTTCATGGGAATTGATAATGTGCCCCATGCTGCACCGGGGCTTTGCTGCCAGGTCCTCCGCTGCCCGCAGCATCCGTGTCAGGTAGACGTCCCCATTTTCTGTGAGGAAGACCGAGGCTCCAAGGGGAGCCTGAGAGACTTGCTGGAAGTCTGGCTGCTGGTGAGCCACATGCTCCAGGAGTCAGATCCGCAACCACTGATGCCAGAGTCCATGTTTTTTTCCTTTTACCTCATGCACTTTGGCAGTAAAGACTTCAGAGAAGTGCAGAGTGGTATCGTTGCCACTTGTGGAGGGACACTCCAGTGCGTAAGATTTAATTTTTTGCTAGGAGACCTCGGAAAAATAGGGACAACATCCAGAATACAGGAAAAAATTTTAAGTGGCATTGCTTCGCGAAAGTGAAAAATCGCAGATGTATTTGGATGATGTATAGATTTTAAAAGAGAAGGAAGAACGGTGCTTCTCTCATGCCTTTGACACACTTCCACACGAGTAGGCAGGCAGGAGCCTCCCTTGGGCTCTGAGGGGCTGTGACCCTGTTGAGACAGAGTGGCCTAAAGGCAGGCCTCCCATGCTGGCTCCTGGTTTCCTTGCTCTGTCCACGGGCTACTGTCACATGACCCCCGGCTCCCCAGCCAGGGCCAATGGAGACAGGTCGGCACAGAGCTGTGGCCGTTTGCCTGTCACAACCACATGGTGCTGCTCACCAGGCCACAAGAGGCGAGCTCTTTGAGGGCCCTGGAGGCAGTGGGGTGGGGTAGAACCCAGGGCAAAATAAAACTGTGGTGTTCTTGTTCAAAAATAAAGAATTTCAAGATGACAATAGCAGAGCATTAAACTAAGCACAGGCCCTTCTTTCTGAGTATGGGCACTGTGTGCCCAGGCACTTGCCCGCTGAGCTGGCCCCGGAGGGGCTCTTGGGGGGCTGTCCTTCAGCCCCCTTTGTGCTGAAGGGGAGATGTACTTCTGTCCTTTCTCTCAGGCTGAACTTTCTCCAAAGAGTTGACAGTTGGACCTTGGCAGTCAGGTTTGTTACTGAGTGTGCAGGCATTTCCGTCTTGACATTTTGTCCCAGGGACAAATCTGGTGGAGAAAATATATGTGCAGAGGAGTCAACCCCAGGGAGTGGGGTGCAGTGATAGCAGCCGGGCCTGGTGCTGCAGGAGCCCCAGGGAAGAAGGGCCCTGCATCACAGAGGGGTGCTGTCGAGCTGAGGCTCAGTTTTCCAGACACAGAAATAGGGTGGGGAGGCCCCGTTAGCGCACATGGCATGTGCAGAGCAGTGGCTGAGTCCAGGAGAAGGTGAAAGCATTGCCCTGCTGCGGGGGGGATGCAGCTGCGGGGTGGTTTGGGGATTGAGAGGAGAGAGGGGCTGGGGCTGGGCTGCAGAGGCAGGATTGGGCCACACGGTAGGATGTACTTGCCAGGCTACGTGTCCGGCTGCTGTTTGACAGGCAGGTCTGTTCTTTAGTACCACAAGTGAGGAGGGTGGGGCGAGTCCAGAAATGGCGAGGAGGGCAGGCAGGAGTCGAGAGCACAGCAGAAGGGCCAGGGGCTCCGGGGGCATCATCTGGAGAAGAGGATTAGGCAGGCAACGTGTAACTGTCGCCAGGGGTGTCTCAGGGTCTGGCCTCTGGAGAAGGACATGGCCCACAGGGTGGGGGAGCCTTGGGACAGCTGGGCTCAAGTTGCATCTGAGCAGGTCTCACTTCTGTGTAACGAGAGCTTCCTGCAGGGGTGGGGGTGGGGAGGCCGGGGCTCCGTGGTCACTTCTAACCAGTGGTTCTGTGACTGTCCTGTGTTCTCTGGATTAAGAGATCTGTCCAGACAAGAAGCTGGAGAGGTGGTAGGAGGTGAGGGACAAGGTTGTCCTCAGACAAATAGTCCTTAAATGAAACCCTGAAGTCCCAAATCCAATGATTTCCATTTTTTTCTCTAATTGCCCTCCCAACACCAACCAGGCGCTGACTGAGTGGGCCTGGCCACTGCGAGTCAGTTTTCTCATGAACCAGCTTTGACGAATCAGTATGCAAGTGGCCGGCTATGCGGCCAGCACTCACGCCCAGTACAAAGGACCCAGTGAGCCCTGTCATGGGCTTCCCACAGCGTCCCCCTCTCCTGTCCCCTCCTTTGGGGCTCTCTACCCCATGCCCATGTCCAGCACTTTGTTTCAGTGCTCTCCTAGGGGACTTGGCATCTGTGCAGCCCTGGGTTTGGTGGGTATGGGTGGGGGCTGGGCAGCCCCTTTGAAAGGGTGGGTCAGTCCAGCAGCCCTGCGGGGGAACCAGGAGCATCTCAATGAGGTTGGAATAACAGGACTGAGCAGGAGGGAGGGCTGCTTTGTCTGTGACCTTGCTCTGGAATCTCCGAGTGGGAGAATGGAAAGTCTCTGGGAACTAAAAAGTCCACAGTCGTCAGGGAAGAGAAGCCTCATTCCAGCCGCCTGACAGTCTCTCTGGATTCTTTCCTGATCCCTTAGGGAGATGGACTCTGAAGGGAGGGGTAGCAGAACAGATTTACTGGCTGTTCCCGAAGTGCTTTTTATAGCATTCCTGTGCCTGGCAGGACCTGAGACCCAGTGGCGAAATGGAGCCGTTCTCTGGTTATCAGGCGGCCTGCTGTGTGCTAGGCTGTGTGGGGCCCGAGAGCTAGGACCTCGGTTAGACCAAAGCTTTGGCTGAGGAAGGCCGCTGGGACCTGCTTGAAAGCTGGGTCCTCCTCACTCCCTCAGCCAGGCAGACAGTGAGTGAGCCTCTCTGAATCCTCAGTGATAGGCTCCAGCACTGGTTCTGGGCAGCCCCAGCATCTCCACTTACTCCTCAGCAGACCCAGACACGTGGGCAAGACCCAGGAGATTTAATTATCTCTTGCTCCTTGATCCCTTATGAGGCAAGTTTTCCCGGGGCAAGGTTATGCTCACAGATGGACAGTCCCCACAGTCTTGCAATAATTAAATGCTTTTGCCTCGTGGTCTAGGTTATTTGCAATTTATCCCACTTCTGACCCCCATATGCCCTTGCTGGGCAGGACTTCCCATTTAACAAGTCCAGCAAACTTGTTCCTGTGGGAAGTAGTAGCCTTGAGCAAGTCATGGCTTCTCTCTGAGCCTCCAAGGGAGGGATGTTCACCTCCACATTCTTGATGGCCCCATGAATTGGGTGGCCCCGGTCAGGTGCAGCCCCCCACCCCCCTCATCCTTCCCATCTGCAGGCTCAGATCATCCCCAGCCCGAGACAGGAAGATTTTAGGGAGCTTCTGGTCACCACCTGGGGGGGCTCCATCTAGTAGTCCATGCAGTGAGCTGGGCCCCTCCCTCTGTACCCAGATCCGGACACTGGGTATCTTCCTCGTTCCCTGTTTCTAGGAGGTGACATGCCAAAGGAGAACACAGACCCAGTCCCCCCACCCCCAGCTCTGTGACCAGCACTAAGATCCCCGAGCCACCAACCCCATTTTCTCTCTAGTAAATGAGGATGTTTCCTCTAGGGCGGATAAATGAGATGCTCGTAGAAATGCCCAGCACAGTGTCTGGTGTGTGTAGTACCTGGCACCTGGCAACCATTAGTGTTTGTTGTCCTTAGGCAGATTTTAGTGCCCCAAATGGGTCCCCATCTTGTTTCCTTCCCTGGAGAGCTCACCTGTACCTCAGGGCCTTAGAACTTGGTCTTGAACTTGCTTTCGTCAATCTCTCCCTTTGCTTCCTCCCACTCACCACATGGACATAAGTCCCAAGTGTCTGCACTGGCTTGGTTCTCCCAGTGTCCTCTGACCCTGGCCCCTGGTCACCGTCCTCAGCTCACCTGTCCAACAGCATCTCCTGGGATGCTCTCCTGCTAGTGCTGACTCCTGGCTGTCTTGTTGAGTCCCCAGAGCCATGGCTTGCTGCCAAGCAGTGCTCTCTCCAGGACCTAGAGAGCTGGGGCTGTCCTGTGCAGTCTCACACACTCCTGCTCTCCCCTGAGGGGTCCCTAGATGTCACAGATCTGAGGAGAGGCCTTTTAGAATTAGTACAGTGATAAAAATCTGTAGAACATTTAGAAAAACAAATTTTGGATATTTTCCAAAAATATACATTATTACCTAAAGGGCACCCAGTAAAGCAGGTTATTTATGACTTTTTAAAAATCAGCTTTATTCCAACCCAAGTAGTAGAACTGACAGTAAAAATCGCTAAAAGTGGGTCCTAACTTGCTTTGCACTTTAGAATATTCTGAGGAGCCTTTTGAAAAAGGCATCTGGACCAGAGGCGATGATTTGGTTTCTGGAGTGGGCCCAGGTCTCTGTCCATTCAGGGAAGGAAGCACTTCAGGATGGCATTTGGCCAGGGCGTGCCAGCCACCTGTGTGTGGATTTGCACGGTGCCCTGCTTGGAGGGCAGTGCTGGGTGATCCTTACTGCACAGAGGGAGGAGGAGAGCTGGAGGAGCTGTGCTCCACTTCCTGGGAGAATCGCTGTAAGCAATGTTCTTGCTTTCCTCGCATCCCAGCCATGTGGGCAGCTAACAGGCATCTTTCCTACATCACCATCTGCCAGCGAGGTCCACTTGCTGTCTGTTTCCATGACAACCCATGAGCGGCTCAGGAGTTAGCAACACTTCTTTACTTGCTCTGTTTAATAGGAAAAAGTCTGTCCACTTCTGTGGTAATGACTCTTCTTCGACAGCCTCAGGGCCATGGGCTGATGGTAAAAGATGCAGCTGGGAGGACCACTCAGAGAGGAACTGGGGCAGAGGGAAGCTCAGGTGTGTCTGTGCGGGAACAGTTATGCTGGGAGGGACCTAGGAGTCATTTTGTCCCTTTCCAGCAGGGGAGGAAACACCTCGACAGGGGCAGGCAGCTGCCAGGGCCCTCGGCCCCAGTGCCCCATAAGTTCAGAGAGCACGTCTAGCCTGGCACAGAGGAGGTACCTGGTAAATACTTGTTGTGTATTTTGTTGACATTCAAAATGGAGAGGGGAGAGGATAGGATAGAAGTGGGGGGAAAAGAAAAAAGCAGAGGAAAAGAACCATGTAAACTTGAGTGAATCCGTCTACCTTTCTGTGGAAGGAAGCCCTTTTGGAGGTGTGAAGATTAAAAGAGATAATGATCAAAATTAAAAGAGATAATGACTAAAAAATGATCGGAAGAACCAGGCATGATGCCTGTCAAACGCTGGCGTCCTGAAGACACCCTTCCCGGGTAAAGTGAAGCGCTTGCTGACTCTGGGGCCCCTTCCTGCTCGGGCTTCCCGGGCGCTCCTCCCTGAGGGTGGGGAGGGGCTGGATTTGGCCCCAGCTCTTCACTGAGGACCTCGGAGGAACTGTGCTTGGGGTGAATCCCTGAGTGGCTGGAGACACACCGTGGTCACAATGTCCTCTCTCTTTCTCGTGCCCAGGCGTCCTTCGAGGTGTCGGTGGAGGCCCGGAGCTGCCCGGGCAAACACACGCAGCACACGTTCACCCTGCGGCCCGTGGGATTCCGGGACAGCCTGGAGGTGGGGGTCACCTACAACTGCAGGTGCAGCTGCAGCGAGGTGCTGGAGCCCGACAGCGCCAGGTGCAGCGGGAACGGGACTTACGTCTGCGGCCTGTGTGAGTGCAACCCCAGCTACTTGGGCACCAGGTGCGAGTGCCAGGAAGGGGAGAGCCAGAGCGGGTACCAGAACCTGTGCCGCGAAGCGGAGGGCAAGCCCCTGTGCAGCGGGCGTGGGCAGTGCAGCTGCAACCAGTGCTCCTGCTTTGAGAGCGAGTTCGGCAAGATCTACGGGCCCTTCTGTGAGTGCGACAACTTCTCCTGTGCCAGGAACAAAGGCATCCTCTGCTCAGGTAGGCGCCCCCACAAGCCCTTATTCTCTGAGTCAGGCACAGGCCTGGGTGCCCTTAGGACATCCCCAAAGCATGCCTTTTGCTTACTGCCATGGTCCTCTTGGGAGAAGACGAGGACACTCCTTGGGGGTGGGGCCAGCACGTTGAGTACAAAAGCAGGAGAGGGCACTGCCACGTGACTGCACTCTCGGAGTTGGAGGAGTCTGCTGCGGGTCATCCAGGACTTGCGCACAGCACTCCTGACAGGTAGACCATCAGCCTCTTCTTGATTGCCTCTGGGGACAGGGATGGCTGTTCCCTTGATTGACATCCCGTTCATCTCCTACTGCTGCTGTGACAAGTTACCACAAACTTAGTGGCTTAAAACAACAGATTTATTCTGTTACAGTTCTGGAAGTCAGAAGTCTGAAAGGGATGTTATTTGGCTAAAATCTAGGACTTGGCAGTCTGCATTCCTTCTAGAAGCTCTAAGCGGGGAGAATCTGTTCAGTGGCCCTTCCCAGCTTCTAGAAGCCATCTACTTTCCTTGGCTTGCAGAACCTTCCTCTGTTTTCAAAGCCAGCAGTGTAGCATCCTCATTTCTTTTTCTGACCTTTCAACAAACCTCTGCTCTGTTGTCACATATCTTTCTCTGATGCTCCTGCCTCCCCCTTATAAGGAGCCTTGTGATAGCGTTGGATCCACAAGGATGATCCAGGCGAGTCTCCCCATCTCAGAATCCTTAATCGCATCTGCAGTCCTTTTTACTGTGTAAAGTAACCCTGATACAGGTTCCAGGAAGGAGCCCGTGGATATCTTTGAGGCCCGTCATTCTGCATCCCACAACATGATTTGAAAGTTTCCTTTTATGTTGTACAGAAAATTGTTTCTCAGTCACTTCCCGCTCAGGGTTCACATTTTAGGCCCCCTCTTACACATGACGACCTGTCAAATGTCCAAAAAGATCTTGTTTCTCTCTTCTCTGTTCCCATCCAGGCTGCACACCGGGTCTCTTCCTTCCCCGAGGCTCTACCTTGTTAAGTGTGCTTCTTAGGTCCAGGCAACTTATGTGCCGTCTGGATAACAAGGACTCAGCCCAGACGTCGGCTAAACGTTTGCTTCCTGTACCCTGGACATTCCACTTCCATTAGCACATCCTAACAAAGCTCACTTTTCTTTTTCTTTTCTGTTGAGCAGTCATGTCGTACTACTGAGCTTGGTTTTAACTTGACTACCAAAAGTTGAAGATTTTTAATATTTTGAACAAACTTTAGCTATTGTGTCATGTTTGAGCACGTAAATCTTTGAATCGAAGCACAGGACTTGACATGGATTCCAGTTAAATTACATTTTGGCAGTCCCCATTCTGGGAGTTGCATTCCGATGAGATACTGTGAAATTGTGTCTCAGAAGGGTCATTCTCTCCAACACCATGCCACCTGCACATGGGTCATGCAGAACAATTTTAGGCAGGATTGTAGTGTCTTCTACCGCCGTGTAGTCCATTGTGTATTCTGTGTGTATTCTGTTGTTTCCAGAATTCCTTCCTTGAGAGTTGTCTTCCAGTTGTAAAGTGTTGATTTAAAAGGAGCTTAGAATATAGCAGGGAAGAAAAAGCACAAACGTGAAGCAAATCAGAGCGTATGAACAGTCTGCCGTTGTGGGAGGAGTACCATCCCTCCACGGGAGAAATAAGTGCCCGGGGCTGCACAGATGAGGGTGAGCGAGTGGGGCCTCCTGGGGCCAACTGCACCGTGAGACAAGTTCGAGTCCACCCACGGGTGCAGCGGCAGCAGCACATTCAACATTGGAATTGCTCCGGAACGTGCAGGACATGGGAATGTCATAGAAGAGTCACCTGGGGGCGGAGTTAAGATTTGACGTGCTGAACAGGCAACAGGGATCTGCCCTTTCTGATGGGTTGGATGGTTCTGTCTGGATTCACAGAGAAAGTGCTTAGGATCAGGCTGGCCTGGGTCTAAAGCCAACACCACCACGTGCTGCTTGTGTCACTCTGGGCATAGAGCTGCTGTGAGCAGTAAGAGAATGTGTCTAGGGCAACGAGCACATTGCCTTTCTGACCGCTGGCTGCCTTTACGAGTCAGTACCGTGCACCTGTGGGAGCTGTAGCTGCTGCCCAGCGTGCAGGCGGGGCCACCTTCCCTGTGAATCGCCCGGCTTTGCTGAGGACTTCCAGCATGGCGGGATGGATGGACTTCCCAGTCCCATTAGCAGCCTCCATAAATGCTCCAAGAAGCCTGGCTGTGTCTATAATTAGCTTTCAGTGGTGGATTTAAAAAATAAAACAAAACAGATTGGCAAATATCACAGAACTCCCTCCTTTCCCGTCAGGAACCAAAAATAATCCTCTGACGTGTCTTCGTCCGGAAGGCTACCTGAGTCCGTGTTGCCTGGGGACTGGGGCTGCTAGGTCGGGCAACGTGCAGATCCTGTCCCCACGGTTTAAATATCAGCCTACTGCCTGGGTTGTCTTGGACTTTGGGTTTTCCTGTCTCTAAAAATGGCCCAACACTCCTTGTTTCTGCAAAATTTTGAGAATTGAAGATGTAGACAGAGGATCTGGCATGGTATTTGGCAGGAAGCAAGACCCAGCAAGTGGTAGGTGCCTCCCCCCCACCTCAGATGCTACATTCCTCTGAATACAGCAGAGAGCCTGGAAGTGCGGGGCCCAGAGGGTGGTACATGAGGTGCGAGCAGCCTTAGTGGGGAAAACTGGTCATTTGGAAACCAGAGTATTCTGTAGCTGAGTGAATATACACAGCTGTTTGTTCAACCCTCAGAACCCACAGTTCTCCTGAGTTAGGCTTGCATTTCAGACTTCTGCCTGACCCCAGTGCCCTCTCTCCTCCCAGTACTCTGTCCAGCCCTGTGGTACTGGGAGACTCTCATGTGTCCCAGGGTGGAGAAACAGGAGGTCCGAGAGGCCTTTGAGGCCCCTCCATGTGCAGTACTTCGAGTCACTAACTCCTAGGGATTGCTGAGCTGGGGTGTCTTGTGTTCCCCCATTGGAAAATTTGAAAAATACAGGGGAGTCGGTGGATGTGTGGTCAGTCTGTGCTGTCTGCCTCCTTCTTAGCGACCAGGATTAATTTGGACCATCTGGAAAACCAGACAAGGTACTCCTTTCCCCTCACTGGTTCACATGCATCCCTTCCAAAGCTGTGTCCTCAGTCAAGAGGACGACTCCAGCTAGCTGGCCGGTTACTCTTAGGTCTAGAAAGCTCTGAAGAGAGAAATTGTTCATCATTCCATCACTCATACTTTTAGAGGTTAGTATCTTTCCTTTTTGGTTTTTTCTAAGAGTATGTGTGTGTCCGTACACAGTTTTGTATCTTTTTTCACATAATATTATCTCCTAAGAAGCACTTAGGCTATAATTCAAGAAGCTGAATTACTTGAATACATCACGGATTGGAACATTTGACTGTCTTTCTTTCCACCGCATCCCCGATTAGCCTTCTCCTCCCCTTTACTTTGAAAGCAATGACTAGTTGAAATGTGGCGCTGTTCAAGTCCTCCTGGAGACAGTAGTTTCTGGAATGAGGTCGTGGTGTGCTCATCCAGAAAGGACGTACAGCCGAGCCCGGCTCCAGGCAGGACCATCGCGCCGGTGCAGCTCCCAGCCTTGGTTCGTCATCTCGCAAACACTCCAGCTTGTTCAGGAGGGAGGCGGCGTGAGCGGGTGGGCGAGGGGCTCGCCCCCAGTTCCTTGCCCCCGCGGTGAGCTTGGGCTCCCCCTCCGGAATTGTGCCCACTGATTTAGAGCTCTCGGATTGCTGTTACATTTGGGGTTTTTGTGGGAGAGAAGTCTTATTTCTCAACAACCGCTCTGGTCTTGAAGCTGCTGACTCAGAGGCTCACAGGCAGCTGACTTCAGCATTCTCTCAGTCTTTCTCGGGCCGTTCCCCTGCGACCTGGCCCATGCAGACTGTGCGGTTGGGGTCCATCTTTAGACGGGGGCTGAGGTGGAGCCAGGGCCAGAGCCGGTGGGGACGTTCTAGAGAAGCTCCTGCCACTTGTCTCTGGTCTCTCTGCCTGTTCAAGGCTTCTTGTCCTCACCCCCACCGAGACAGGACAGGTTTGTTATGTGATAGGTTGTAAAAGTTAGTAGTGAAGCAAATCAGACTAAGGTCTGGAAGCAACTGAGTAACCTGGAGATGGCTTTTGTGACACACTGTCACGGGAATGGGGGGGCAGCCAGGACTGCTGGGTCCCCCTCTGGTTTCCAGAGGCAGCGTAGCCTAGAGGACGGCTCTGCCCACAGACGCTCCCCGTGTGTACAGAGGGAGGCGGGGGCTGTTGGGGGGTTTCTGCTCTTTTGAGTCTCGTGAAGTGTTGACCTTTCGGAATCCCTCTGCTAACAGCACACGAGAAGTCGGACGTGGTCTGTGTAGTTGTTTTCAATGTAACTAAAGATTAGTGCTGAGACTTTGTTGTTCTTTGTTGGTTTCTGCACACAAACAGTGCGTTTCCTGGGATTTGAGTTACTCCATTATGGTAAACTGTTGAAATCAGTCCCAACCCTGATGCTTTCCGCAGTCTCTGTACTTAAAATGTCTGGGGTACATGGAATAATTTGCTAGTAGTCAGCCTCCTTCTTGGGTTGCATATATTGAGAAAATTTGTATCAAATAGGATATAGCATTTTGAACAGAACACTTTTGGTCTTGTGATTTTGAGATCCCAAAGGTACATCTAAGTAAGGTCATATATTTTACTTCATCTAATAAGTTATTTGGCCAGTTTATCCATATATATATATAGCCATATGTATATATTTATCCATATATATATGCATCTCCTTTAAAACATGGCAGGCAATTAGAGATCAAAGGGCATCTGCAGTTTCCTCCCAGATGTAAAAAAATGGACAGTGACACTAGTGACATCATTCCTGGTGGCCAGAGCCAGCATCCAAACACAGATTCCTGGACTGGGCTGACGGCTTCCAGAAGGCTTCCCAAGGTTACGTTAAACTTCTCCTGTTAAAAGTGCCTCTG